ATGAAGCAGAGAATCCCAAAGGCTTTGCCTCTAGTAAAGATACTAACTACAACATGATGATTAACAGTGTCAAGTGAGTCCTTTTGTACTTCTTAAAATAGCTAGCTCACCGAGAGAGAAAATTTGAGTCTTCGACTTATATCCTTGGCTTTTATAATAGTTATACTCGGATGATGTAGAATGCTTTTTAAAAAAGTGCTGTACAACAAAAATACATCTGTTAAAAATATATAATTAATATTACAACTAAACATGAAGCTATAGTGTCACTGCCTAATAAGCAGACATAAGGTAAGTAGCAATACATCAAGGACAGGCAAGTTTTCAAAGTACCCAAAATATACTTTAAAATTTTAACTCTTCTATCTTTGGTGTTCTGTTATTTTTCACCTACGACATCATTTCTTCTCTCTGTCCATCTAAATCCTATCTATTCTTTAGGTGCCCAGTTAAGACTCCATCCTATTCTATGGCATCTTTTATTATGCTAGGCAATATAATTTCCTCCTTTTGAATTTCTAAGGCAATGCCTATTTTCTGTGCTCTCTTGGTACTCACTTTGCCTTTATTAGACAATGGTATCACTGCAGTGGTAAAAGAATACAATACACATCAACATTGTTAGATTAAGCACTCATCAAAATATTCCTGGTGAAAACTACCTAGATTTTGAAGACAACAGACCTGGGAGTGAATCCTAGTTATTACTAGCTTTGTTATATGAGTCTACTTCATCATCTGTAAATAGGGATATTTAGAGAGGATATAGCAAAGTTAAATAAATAATAAATAGGCAAATAAAAACATAATTATAAACTCTGTTAGCTTTACAAATAAAATATCACCAGTGCTAGGAAAAAGAGACAGTCATTTAAAGAACACAGAGAAATTTCAAAGAAAGAAAAGAATGAGCAGAGAATGGGAAATAATCTGGTGCAGTCAGCGGTTTGAAAGAAGACTGTATGGTTAGAGCTTAAGGATAAGAGAAAAAATGTAGGGGCAACTACAGTGAAACCATATATGCTGTGCTGTGTACATCACAGCCCTATTAATAGTTAGATTTATTCAGAATAATGGAAAATATTTAAATGGGAGAACTGATACAACCCAATCTTTGTATTTAAAAAGTCATTTTGGTTGATGAACAGTAGATAGACTGGAGAAAATTAAGAAGAAGTGAAGAGAACTTAGAGGTTGTTAGGTTATTAGAGTAGTTCAGGTAAGGGATGGTGTGGCTTGGCTAAAATGGCTACTACTGAGAGGTTGTGAAAGAAAAGGAGTTGAGAGACTCATGGCTTCTGCCTCACACATTAACTGCCATGTGAGTTGTATTTAACTCATGCTAGTTTTGAGCCCCGGACATCAGGAACATATATAACTCACACGTCTCTTCACTTTTGGAACTTTGAGAACTATTTTTCAGGTTGCATATAAAATTCATGCACAGAAAACAAAAAAAAAACAACAATTTTCATTAAATTAGAAAGGATCATTTTGTTTTCGAAGTTTTTATCCATTTTCATAATAAAATGCTGTGGCCCCAAGGGAAAAAAAAATTTTTTTTCCTATGGGTTAGTTAATGTCCTTAAGCATAAATGAAGTGTTTTCTTCTCTCTATTATTAGTTAGTGGTCTTGCTTTGTTGTCCAGGCTGGTACAGTGACATGATATAGCTCACTGCAACCTGAACTCCTGGGCTCCAAGAAGGTACCACCATACCCAGCTATTTTATTCTTTTTTTTTTTTTTTTGGTAGAGGTGGAGCCTCACTATGTTCCCAGGCTGGTCTTGAACTCCGGCCCAAGTGAGCCTTTGCCTCGCCTCCTAAAAGTGCTGGAATTACAGGCATGAGCCACTGTCACGCACATGAAAGTACCATCCATGAGATAGTAAAAGATTAAGTTTCAGACACGTTTAAATTTGAAACCTTCATACAGAAAAACAGGAGGCGAGGGAGGAGAGAGGAGTCCAGGGAGAAGGGAGGGAAGGAGGAGAAGGAAGAAGGAGAGGAAGAGAAGGAAAGGAAGGAAGGAAGGAAGGAAGGAAAAATAAAATAGATAATCTGAGAGGGGAATTAATTTCTGGGCCCATTCAATAACTATCCTAGAAAAAGGGTGGCCCATCCTTGTGAACTATCAGTGGCTAGTATATCTGGTACATATAGGGGTACGTTAGGCTTAGTTAACTATAAAAATGGTAAAATGAGGTATTTTTTTTAAAAACAGGATCTTGCTCTGTTGCCCAGGCTAGAGTGCAGTGGCATCATCATAGCTCACTACAACCTCAAACTCCAGGGCTCAAGCAGATACTCCTCCCTCAGCCTCCCAAGTAGCTGGTATTATAGGCATGAGCTGCCACACCTGGCTAATATTTTATTTTTTTGTAGAGACAGGCTCTTCACTATTGCCCCGGCTGGTCTCAAACTCTTGGCCTCAAGTGATCCTCCTACCTTAGCCAAAGTGCTAGGATTAGCACAGGCATGAGCCACTGTACCCAGCCAAACTATTCTTTATTTGTCCTATGCTCACCAAATATTAGGAGTACTTCCATCTACAAACCAATTTTTACCTCCCTATAAATAACTTGACATTTTTGCCTAGGTCACAAAAGAGTCTTTCTTGATAAAGATTAACTAGAATATGTCTGAATTTTGCCCATTCTGAGTCAATTCTCCTTTTATCATGCTGTGCCCTTTCAATATAAACATTCATTTCTTTTTATTCTAGAAAGTTTTCTTGAATGCATTGAATTATAAATTCAAACATTTGTTGCCTTCCTTTAAAATTATTTTTCAGAAATACTAATTATGTATATTTTGTATATAGATAAAATTGCTGTCTTCCGTTGCTAATATTTTCTTTCTAATCTTTTTAGATTCTCTTTGTTCATTTTGTTTACTTTTCCTATTGTATCCTCTATGTCACTTATTGTGTTTTCTGTACTGTCTCTGTGTCTGTGTTCCAAGTTCAATAATTGGTTTGCTTTCTTTTTTCTTGGGTTCTGCTCACTCAAAGTTAATCTCTTCTGGTTGTTGAGCCATCTTTTCCTATAGTTCTTACATTTCTACTTTGTGGTCTTTTTCAAAGTGAAGCATAAATTGCTAAAAACATTAAATTTTCATCTGATTTATACTAATATTTTTATTTGCATATATGTGTTTATGTGACTAATCTGTTCCTAAGCTTTACTGCTTCCCCCCACTTCTTATTAATATCTTTTGTATGATTGCTAGGCTAGTTACTTTTAAATTACTCGTAACTGAATGAGTTGGATTTTGCTGGACCAGCTATTTGCAGGAAGTTTGTGGGGTATGGAGAGGGAAGCATGCACAGGTAATTTTATGGCTTTAAAACCAAAACACTGTCATATTATCTGATCCCTACAGAGGCAGGCTGCTTTACCCAAATAGGGGTCCTCTGTTTCTCTAAACAAATCACATAATAAACAGCTTCTGCTCCAGCCTGGTCTCCCCATTTCCCACAATAAAAACCAAGGGATCATATTTTTATACCTCAAAAATGAGCCCTTTATTGTTAGTAAGTGCAATTTTCTATCCTATTCTAATTTCTGCCACCAATAAGCATTCTTGACATTCCATGTTTGAACTGTTCTCTTCTTTCCACATGGCTTTTGCTAGACCTCAGCTGCTTAAACAGCTTTTATTTATATTTTGTTGTCCAGGTATTACATCTATCTTCTTAGTTTTGTTTAATATGAGGTAGAACTGTGTGGGTAGGAGCATGTGTATATGTTTTATTTTTCTTATTGTTTCTGTTTTTTAGGAAGGCTAGGGAGCAGATAATGGTCTACCCTTAATCATACCTAAAAAGTCTATAGTTCTTATAAACATGAGAGAGTGTCTTTAATACTAAGCAACCAGTGATTATAATTTGGCATCCATATAGTGTACTTATATGGTGGGAATGTGTTGGTCAGAAGATAAAAGCATGAGAAGTCCCAGTGGTAGATTTATTTCTCACAAAAATTAATGAATTGGCATTCAGACTTCATATGTTAGTCTCTACTTAATGTGGATTTGAAATTTACACCTTATGTAAATGAATTTTCCCCTGTTCAGTTACTGAGCCTAAAAGGCTAAGGTTTCTTAGACTGATGGAACCTACTACTTCTTATGAAATATCAAGCAGTGCTCAACATGCTACTTTGATCAGCTAAAAAATATACTAGGTTTTGTTATAAAAATAAATTCCTATCTAAGAAAAGAATAATAAATGTTAATTACTAATAAGTTATAGAATGTTTCATTTAGCTTCTTTAGTCACATCATTTTTTCCTTCTTCATTATGTTGTTTACAATCTTCAACAAGTATGCTATGTATTCTTTTGGGTGTTTAAGCTTTTAAAAATTCCACTGAGGTTTTATTGGAGAAGTGGTTATGTCAATGTAAACTAGAGTCATATATGTTTAATATGGCAAGACCTCAAATTTTCCATTACCACCTCCTTCCCCTAGGAACTTGGTAAAGTCATGTCCATGATACTTTACCATCTGGGTATATATTATATCCTGAACTTGGCATCCTTCTCTTTGTTTTAAATAGCAATAATGACTATTAGAAACAGATCTTAAATATTGATATTAATAAATATAACCTATCTCAAAAGTTTAAAAGGTGATCTAATTTTCTTTTGCAATAATATTCTCTTTGTTTATGGTTTTTATTATTCTTTTAGATCAATGAGCTAGTAAAAGAGATGTTAAAAGGTATGTGTTTGGTTAGAGGCCAGATTTTAAAAAATAAGCACTTAAGAATTAATCAAAACAATGGTACAGTGCTCAAAAGAGTTGGCAGAAACCAGTTCTTTCATCCCATTAAAAAATACTTTAGATCTGGAAAGTGAATTAGGTTCAGACTAAACAAATACTAGATTAACAAATCAGAAAAAAACATAAAAAAGGAAGTTAAGCTTGGATTATTTAAGAGGAAGAATTTTAAAAGCTGAAATAAACAATAACCATAGATACTAAGAATTTTATTACCTTCTGGTCGATATTGTGCAACAATTGTGACAGCCTGGCCAGCATTTTTCAATGCGGCTGCTGCCTGCTCATGACTGGCAGCTCTTAGGTCAACACTGTTTACCTGTAAATCAAACCAAATCATAATTTGAGAGAAAATAATCACTCTGATTAGAAATCACAATAGCCTCTTCTTTGAGTAGGCATAGATTAGCAATGACAACAACAAAAACACACAAAACACATTAGTTGCAATACCTTTACCACTAAAACGTTTCTTGTTCTGATTTACTAAAAATATATTGCACAGTAAAACTAAATATTACTAACATCCAAATCAATTTTATTTACTTAAAATACTTTGCTAAATGTTAAGTGAGCAATCCATTGAGAAATGTACCTTAATGTGACAACCTGAAATATACAGTGTTGTCATTTTGCACATTTCATTTACTAAGAACTAAGCAATGGGAGGAAAATTCATTTTGCTTGTAGTATACATTCACCTCCTCCCAAATTTTCACTCCTAGTGCTTAATTCAGTTTCAATACTTCTTCCTTTCACAAACTAAAACTTGCATTCTTTTGGTGTCACAGAAAAGCAATTATTTAAAAGTATTAAAATAGCTCAGATTTCAAGAACCGATTTAAATAGAATAAATGTTAATTAAATGAACCAGGAGAACTTTTTTTAAATAAAAGGGCCCTTCCTTGGGTGAAATAATTACTGAGGTGACCAAGCCTACCCTAGAGGAGGCAATTTAATTTATATTTTTGATAAGTTGCCAATACTTAGTGCATACTACTTCAAGGTATGTTATCTTGGGAGATTGTTCCTTTTCCACTATAAGACAAATATATGAGGACATCATGGAAACATTACACTTAAATGTAATAAACTTTAAAAATTTAATTTTTTAAAAATTAAGAAGCAGCAATGAATAAAGTACAGCAATGTTCACAATCTTCACTGAGAATTTTTGGAAAGAGCCACTGTGCAATTTTTATACTACAACTGGTTTTGTTGAGATCTAATCTAAAACCTGTTAAAGATCACATATCACTTTTCAAAAACTTGACTATAAGCCCAGAAATTCTTGGGATCATAAAATTTACATAAAGAAAATTTTAACCATGTGAAGATATTATGTTTTATATTATTCATAAAAGATATCATTATGCAACTATAAAAAAACACACATCCCTGTGGCTTGGCTTGGTGGTCACTCCTATTATCCTAGCACTTTGGAAGGCCAAGGTGGGAGGATCACTTGAGGCCAGCCTGGGCAATATAGCAAGACTCTGTCTCTACAAAAAATTAAACAAACAAAAAAACCCCCAACTAGCTGGGTGTAGTACTGTGTGCCTATTGTCTTACCTACTTGGGAGGCTGAGGTATGAGGATTGCTGGAGGCCAGCAATTTGAGGCTCTTGTGAGCTATGGTCAGGTCGCTGCACTCCAGCCTGGGTGACAGAATGAGACTCTATCTCTAAAAAACAAACAAAAAACCCAGCAACCCCCACCCAATGTCCCTTGAATGAAAACCAAGATTTAAAAACCCTAATCTAAACACATGTATGCAGTGGCTTATGCCTGTAATCCTAGCACTCTGGGAGGCCGGGGTGGAAGGATCGTCTGAGCTCAGGAGTTCAAGACCAGCCTGAGCAAGAGCAGGACCATGTCTCTACTAAAAATAGAAAGAAAATTAGTTAGACAACTAAAAAATATATAGAAAAAATTAGCCGGGCATGGTGGCGCATGCCTGTAGTCCCAGTTACTCGAGAGGCTGAGGCAGAAGGATCGCTTAAGCCCAGGAATTTGAGGCTGCTGTGAGCTAGGCTGATGCCATGGCATTCTAGCCCGGGCAACAAAGTGAGACTCTTGTCTCAACAAAAAAATTAAAAAAATAAACACATGTAATTTAATGTAGTTAGTAGAGTATATCTCTAGCTGAAGATAGCTATAAAAAACTCAATACAATGTAGAAAGAGTTCCACTTTGTACATAAAGAAAATCCTAATTCCTGGGAGAAACAAATTAGGTAAGATAAACTTCCACAGATTATTACAGAAAAGATTAAAACTATTAATGAATTATTCCTATGCATCAATTATTTTGTTTCATAAAAGATTTGAAAACAAAACTATATAGACAAAAAGAGCATAATTTGTTGAAAAAGACTATGAATTAAAGATTTTCCAAAATATCATTGAATTTTCAATGGAAGGTACATTACCAAGGATTTTTAGAAGAAATCTCAGTACTGAGAGACAAATAAATAGCTTTAGTGTCACTTTTCAAAAAATATCAACATTTAAAAAAATGGAGAAATAATTCACATATTAAAAATGTTACTCTTTTAAAGTGTATAGTTTAGTGGTTTTTAGTACCTTCACGAGGTTGTGCAACCATCACCACCATATAATTCCAAAATATTAATATCACTCCAAAAAGAAATGCCATATCCCTTGGCAGTCACTCCTGTCACCCCTCTCAATCCCTGGCAACTACTAATCTACTTTCTAACTCTACAGATTTGCCTCTTCTGTACATTTCAAGTCAGTGGGATACTATAGTATATAGCTGTTGAGTAGGAGACTAGGAGACAGAACTGAGACTGGATGCAGGGAACTGAAGATTGAGTGCAGGTCTTAAAGTAAACAACTCTCAGGAAGAAGCTAACTAAAGGTGCTCATATCTGAAGGCAAGAACAAGTTTCAACTGGCTTGTCACCTACCTCTGTCACCTTACATGAACTTTGGCTAATTATAATATCATCTGTACTGAGGTTTTAAAATTTGGCTGCCCTTGAAATCATCATGATAGTTCCAAACAACCATATAAAGTATGAAAATGAGGCTGGGTGTGGTGGCTCACACCTGTAATCCTAGCCCTCTGGGAGGCAGAGGTGGGATGATTGCTTGAGCTCAGGAGCTCGAGATCAGCCTGAGCAAGAGCGAGAACTGTCTCTACAAAAAATAGAAAAATTAGCTGGGCATGGTGGTATATACCTGTAGTTCCAATTTCTTGGGAGTCTGAGGGGGAAGGATCTCTTGAGCTCAAGAGTTTGAGGTTGCAGTGACCTGTGATGATGCCATTGCATTCTAGCTGGGGCGACAGCTATTGAGACAGAAATTCTGTCTCAATAAAAAAAAAAAAAAAAAGTATGAAAATGGGAGGGAACTCAATTCTAGGAATTACTACCCACATTCTTAGTAAAAGCCAACCCCTTAACCTTCAATATCCCTCCCCTCAATTACTAAGACTTAAAAAGACCACAAATCACTTTCTCCCAGGACATCTGCTCTTTTCAAGCCTGTTTACTATTCTCTTGAAGTGTACTTTCACTTTCAATCTTTCAATAAAAAGCTGCTTGCTTGGCTTACATGGTATGTCCTGAAATTCTTTTCTCCCAACTATCATCAAGAACCTGGAAAAATCTCCATTCGGAGGCTTCTAACATAGTCATCTGTGTTTGACTTCTTTCACTTAGCACATTTTCAAGGTTCATCCTTATAGCATGTAACAGTGCTTTATTCCTTATTATGGCTCCATTAAAATCCATTAAAACTGGATATGGCATTTTGTTTATCCACTTCCTTAAATTTAAATCTAAATATTTTATTCTTTTTGATACTACTGTAAATAAGACTTTTCTTATCTCACTTTTGGGTTGTTCAATGGTGGTATATAGAAATACAACTGATTTTTGTATAGTGACTCTCTACCCTGCAACCTTGCTCAACTCATTTATTGGCTTTGATAGTGGGTTTTTTTTTTTTTTTGAGATAGGGTCTCACTCTGTTGCCTGGGCTAGTGTGCAGTGGTGTCACTGTAGCTCACCATACCTCAAATTCCTGGCCTTAAGCAATTCTCCCACCTTGGCCTCCTAAAGTGCTGGCATTACAGGTGTGAGCCACCAAGTTCGGCCTCTGATAGGTTTTTTGTTGTTATATTTCTTAAGATTTTCTATATATAAGATTATATCATCTATAAACAGAAATAGTTTTCTTTCTTCCTTCTTACTCTAGAAGTCTTTTATTTCTTTCTCTTGCCTAAGTGCTAGAACCTCAAGGGCAATGTTGAGTCAAGCAGACATCCTCGTCTTGTTCCTGATTTTAGATGGAAAGCTTTCAGTCTTTTACCATTTAATATTTTGTCAAGCTATGGTTTCTCAGAGATATCTTTTATCAGACTAAGGAAGCCTTTTATTCTGAAAAGATGTTGGTTTATGACAATTACTTTTTCTGTGCCTACTGAGATATCATGTGTTTTATGTCTTTTATTCTATTAAGATGGTATTTTACTTTGACTGGTTTTTCTATGTTGACCAATCATGCATTCCTTTGATAAATTCTCCTTGGTTACGGTATATAAACGTTTTTTATATGCTGCTGGATCTAGTTATTTTGTTGAGGGTTTTTACATCTATTTTCATAGGAGACATAGATTTGCAATTTCCTTTTCTTGTGGTATCTTTATCTGGTTTGGTATAAGGATAATATTGGCTACAAAGAATGAGTTGGGAAGTGGTCCTGAGGTTTCTAACATTTTGGAAAAGAGTTTATGAATGAATGGTGTTAATTCTTCTTTAACTGTTTGGCAGAATGCACCAGTGAAGCCATCTAATCCTGAGCTTTTTCCATTGTGGAAAGTTTTAAATTACTAATTCAATCTCCTTACTTGTTATAGGAATATTCAGATTTTCTATTTCTTCTTCAGTCAGTTTCAGTAGTTTATGTTTTCCCAGAAATTTATCAATAACTATGTAATATATATATAACTAAATAACATATCATATATAACTATATAATGATACACATATTATATGTTTTGCATTTAGAAACAATTTTTGTCTTAAAGTCTACTTTGATATTAGTGTAGCCACTGTAGGTGTGTTTTGGTTTTTGTTTGTGTAATATATCTTTTCCAACCTTTTACTTTTGACCTATGTGTGCCTTTAAAGTGTCTCTCTTGTAGACAGCATAACGTTGGATTCTGGGGTTCTTTCTTTTTTATTGAGACAGAGCCTTATCTGTCACTCTGAGTAGAGTGCAGTGATGTCATCATAGCTTACTGCAACCTCAAACTCCAGGGTTCAAGCCTCCTGCCTCAGCCTCTCAA